AATATTGATGTGATGGAGGATACTGCTATTAATCTATATAAGGAATTCAATACCTTAAATAAACGTTACATGGATCGGCAATGGGAAATGTTGCAAGTGGCTACCAAAAATGTCGATAGCTTTCGACGTACACTACCTTTGATAACGGCGCTAAAGAATCCGTGCATGCGAAAGCGTCACTGGGATGCTGTACGCGAAACTGTAGGCGTGTAAATATATACAATGTTTTTTTGAGAGTGCGATCGTATTGAAGAAGCGAGAGTGTATGGGGATTTATAGGAAACCATTACGTTTGCGAAATGATTTAAAAAGTTCAACGTCCTCGAACAATTAGATTTAATACCCTTCATGTGCATGAATTGGTATTCTAACTTTGGTCCAATGTTTGTAAGTACTAGATAGAAGAAGAATACATAGATAGATCTATGTAAAAATTATACCAAAACTATCAGGGCGCCGAGTTGGGTCGATTTAACCATGTCCGTCTGCCTGTAACTAATCTGCCAAGCGACAAAAATGTAAGATAGGACTTTTCGATATTAAGGTAGCGATATACATGTGTACAAAAGTATATAGTAGCTATTGCACGCGGAAATTTAAAATCGATATTTCGCTTTCCTGGGAATTCTGGTATCGGTGCCAAATTCTAACTGAATTAGCCGTTTCAGTATGAAGAGCATCTCTCAGAACGAAAAATGACACTGAAGATGGCACAACGCCGAAACCGGTTTGTCTGCAAACCAAACTTGACAAGGGATGACGGAAATTCGTTCCAAAATAAATCATCTTACCACCCTGTCGGAAAAATGAACCAACACCAACACAATTGAAGTGTTTATTGGAACAGTCAATTGAATTATAGAACCCGATACAATCTGAGAAACATATTCTATGTACCTTCAAGATTTAGTTTCCCTTAAATATGTTGCTTCCTAAGTAGAATATGGCAGAAATAACGGAACCCTTTTCCAAACAAACAAAAAATGCGCATATTCCTCTTGAGTTTCGATACATTAAACGCCATACTCAGCATCAGATCAGTGCTAAATTTCTGAATTTTAAAAGCACGCAGATGCCTAAACCTTCTCGGAAAAGAATATTTGAAAAATAGTTGTAGCTAGAGACCTACAATATCATTTACAATACTTATTAAAACAGTCATAGATAATGTGCTAGTTGGAGTCACTCTCTCAGCCGCTCATTCATCGCTCTGCACAATCAAATACCACTTCAATCCCTTCAATACGATTTGCATTCGAACTCTTCTCCCCCAGAATCTGTTTTCATAGCTCAATTCTTCTAATTTAGGGATTTCGACGAGGATTCCAAAAAGTTTAAACTCGAACTTATTATCAACTTGGACTTTCAAGCTTACTCCGAAGAGATCCAAGATATTTCAAACGCCGCCACAATGGAACTTCAAATCGAAAACGGCATTAAGAATATTGCAAGTATTTGGCACAAGCAAACTTTCGAAATGGCGTTCTACAGAGATGGCATATACCGCATAAAGAATGTAGACGATTGCATGCAGTTGCTCGAGGAACATATGGTTCAAATATCAGCAATGAAGTCGACACGTTTTGTGGAGCCTTTCATCGAGGTTGTCGACTACTGGGAGAAGACTCTGTCGTATGTCGCCGAAACGCTGGAAACGGCTTTGAATGTGCAACGCCAATGGTTATATTTGGAGAATATTTTCGCTGGCGAAGATATACGCAAACAATTGCCGAACGAGGCAAAACGCTTTGCCAGCCTAACTGATGAATTTCGTTTGATTAGCGCCAAGATGTACAATGCTAAGTACGCTGTGCGTGCGACACATCTGCGCCAGCCACCATTTCTGCTGGAGCGCTTCAATAAAATGGACGAACGTCTCGAGGTTATACAACGTGCGCTCGAAATCTATTTGGAGTCTAAACGCCAATTGTTTCCACGTTTCTATTTCATCTCCAACGATGATTTATTGGAGATCTTGGGCAATGCCAAACGCCCGGATCTGGTGCAGCCACATCTGAAGAAGCTTTTCGATAATTTGTACAGATTAGAGTTGAAACGTGTTGGCAAAGGTATGAGTCGGTTTCAGGCAATGGGCATGTACTCGGACGATGGCGAATATGTGGAATTTCTCAATGTATTGTATATCGATGGGCCCTCTGAGAAGTGGCTAAATGTCGTAGAGGATTTCATGTTGAGCGTTATGAAAGAGAAACTCAAGCAAACTCGTGCCTCGCTCAAGAAACTAATTGGCAACCGCGAGCAGTGGATGTCGTTATGGCCAGGCCAAATGCTGCTCACCACTTGTCAAATTCAATGGACGACCGAATGCACGCGCAGTCTTATCCATTGCAAGATGGTTGATCAGAAGAAACCACTGCGCAAACTGAAGCGTAAACAGAATAAGGTTTTGGCTAAACTTTCGGAACTTAGTCGCAAGGACCTGCCGAAAACCATGCGCCTCAAGGTGAATACCCTTATCACCATTGAAATTCACGGACGTGATGTCATCGAACGCATGTACAAGGTTAATTGCAAAGACATCAGCCATTTCGAATGGTTTTCGCAGCTGCGTTTCTATTGGCATCGCGAGTCTGAACTCTGCGTCATACGTCAAACTAACACCGAGCATTGGTATGCTTACGAGTACACCGGCAACTCGGGTCGTCTTGTGATCACGCCGCTCACAGATCGTTGCTATATAACGCTAACAACGGCACTACATTTACATCGCGGTGGCAGTCCCAAAGGGCCAGCTGGCACTGGCAAAACTGAGACAGTTAAAGACTTGGGTAAAGCTTTGGGTATCTGGGTCATTGTCACGAATTGCTCTGAGGGTTTGGACTACAAGAGCATTGGCAAGAACTTTTCTGGCTTAGCGCAAACTGGCGCTTGGGGCTGCTTCGATGAGTTCAATCGCATCAATATCGAAGTGTTGTCCGTCGTAGCGCAACAAATTCTCTCCATCATGTCGGCACTTTCCGCCAAACTCACCGAGTTCAACTTCGAGGGCAGCGTAATCAAACTAAAACACACCGTCGGACTCTTCATCACAATGAATCCTGGCTATGCTGGACGCACAGAACTGCCCGATAACCTCAAATCTATGTTCCGGCCGATCGCCATGATGGTGCCGGACAACGCAATCATAGCCGAGAACTTGCTCTTCTCCGATGGCTTCACGAACACCCGCAGCTTGGCACGCAAGGTCTTTACGCTCTACGAACTGGCCAAGCAGCAGCTGTCTAAGCAGTATCACTATGATTTCGGTCTACGCTCCATGGTCGCATTGCTGCGTTATGCTGGACGCAAGCGTCGCCAATTGCCAAACACTAACGAAGAAGAAATCGTTTACTTGGCTATGCGCGATATGAATGTGGCGCGGCTGACAGCCAACGATTTACCACTTTTCAATGGCATTATGTCCGACATCTTCCCAGGCGTTACATTACCTGTTATTGACTACAGCGATTTCAAGATCGCAATTGAGGATGAACTACGCAGCAATGGTCTACAGCTCATACCAATCGCCATTAAAAAGATTATAGAGCTGTATGAGACGAAGAATTCACGCCATTCTACGATGATTATCGGTGGTACGGGTACCGCAAAGTCGGTGACTTGGAAATGTCTGCAAGGCGCCTTTGGGCGTATGAACGCCAACAAACATCCAGGCTGGGAGGCAGTCATTGTGCATCCAGTCAATCCAAAGGCGCTCAATTTAGCCGAGCTTTATGGCGAATACAATTTGGCGACCGGCGAATGGTTGGACGGTGTACTCAGTGCAATTATGCGTGTTATATGCGCCGATGAAGATCCCACGCAGAAGTGGCTGCTATTCGATGGGCCCGTCGATGCGGTGTGGATTGAGAACATGAACTCTGTTATGGATGACAACAAAATTCTGACATTAGTGAATAGCGAACGTATAACTATGCCAGCACAAGTATCGCTGCTATTCGAAGTAGCCGATCTGGCGGTGGCCTCACCGGCAACGGTATCACGCTGTGGCATGGTGTACAATGATTACAATGACTGGGGTTGGCGTCCGTACGTGAATTCATGGTTGGCTCGGCAAAAACTTCCAGAACATGTGAATTTTCTACGCGAATATTTTGACTACTATCTGGATAGGGTATTGGAGTTCAAACGAGTTCATTGCAAGGAAATAGTTAAGACAAATCAGTTGAATGTGGTTATGTCAATGTGCAAATTGTTGGAAGCTTTTTCCACAAAACAAAATGGTATTGTATCTGGTAATGCTGAACTGCTGGAGACAATGAGTAAATTGTGGTACCTATTCTCGCTAATTTGGTCTGTGTGCGCAACTGTAGATGAAGAGAGTCGCCTCCGCATAGATTTCTTCATAAGAGAAATAGACAGTTCCTTCCCCATCAAGGACACCGTTTATGATTATTATGTCGATCCAGAACATAGAACGCTTATGCCGTGGGAGAGCAAGCTTTCAGACGCTTGGAAATATGATGAAAAGTGAGTTTAGAGTTTTGTGCGGAGAGGGTCAGATAGAGCTTTTACGCTGCTTTGAAACAATCAGGACAAAAACACATGCCGGGAGAATAGCTTTTTAAAGATTTCCATAGATTTTGTAAAGCCGCGAACAGAGTAAAAGCTCTATCTGCCCATCGCTGCTTTAGAGCAGTCACTACGCAAACAAATATCGCTTATTAAAGCTTTTTATAGATTTTATATGGTCGTGCACAGAGCAAAAGTTCTCTATGATCGCCACTACTTCTGACTCTAGATCAGCGATGCTCATAGAGAGCTTTTACTTTGGACGCATTCATCCATAAAATGTACAAATAGCTTTGAAGGGTGCCGCCTGCGGGGCTGTTTTGACCATCACTGCTCTAGATGAGCACCGCCTTTCCCACACGTAGATCTTTTGTAAGCTTTCTATACATTTTGGATATATGTATGTGCATAGGGCTGGTCCAAAAAAAATTTAAAATGTTAGGATTTTTGTTAAAAAGTTATATTTAGAAATGCCTCAGAGCCCATTACATTTTCCGTGTATTTTATATGAGGAAAAACAGTTTCTCGTATTCTTATTTCATGCATTTTTGGACCACCCTAATGTACTAAGTGGACAGAGTAAAAGCTCGTTCTGATCTATGGCTTACGTCTAAAGCTTTTTGGACATAGCTACTCAAAATCACTTGGGACCCAAAACACATTTCGCAATGAAAAAGCGTGCTATAGATTTTATTTGGACACGGACTAGGTAAAAATATTTTTTGATCGGCACTGCTTTAGATCAGTGTTTAAATTTTTATATTCCGTTTTCTGGTTCTTACCGTATTCGTATTCAAAAAGAACCCACTTTCAAATTGTGACTCAGATTCCAATTCAGCGGCATAAAATACGTAAGAATTTATTAGCCTGGTCCGTCGGACGATTTCTTTTTAACCTAACCTAAACTATACCTAAATCTCTATACGAGACGAGAAGAACATTGTTCTGTTCTTGACCATGACAACAGGGGAAATTCTTCAACCTACGCTTTACCAAATTTTATTCAGAATCACAAGACATCTTATTTTTCTCCCGCAGTCTTCCCTTCTATAAAATCATTGTGCCCACTGTGGACACTGTGCGCTATGAATATCTTGTCTCTAAACTGTTGCAAGAAGAACACCCAGTCATGCTAGTGGGCAATGTGGGCACAGGCAAGACATCTACCGCAGTCAGTGTAATGGACTCGTGTGATAAAAATAAGTATACAGTGCTCTCCATCAATATCTCGGCGCAGGTAAATTTCTCGAACCGACACCACCCAAAATATCTTTAAAAAATTCCCTTATTTACAGACCACAGCTGCCGGTTTGCAAGAATCCATTGAGAATCGCACCGAAAAACGCACTAAAACCATTTACGTCCCAATCGGCGGCAAGCGTATGATTTGCTTCATGGACGACTTCAATATGCCTGCCAAAGACACCTACGGATCGCAGCCGCCATTGGAACTTATCCGACAGTGGATAGATTACAAATATTGGTTTAATCGTCGCAATCAACAGAAGATCTATGTACAGAATACGCTGCTAATGGTAGCCATGGGTCCACCGGGTGGCGGACGCCAGGAGATATCGACACGCACGCAAAGTCGTTTCGTCGTCATCAATATGACATTCCCCAACGAGGCGACAATCATGCGCATTTTCGGCAGCATGCTTCAGCAAAAGTTGATACCATTCGCCAATGATATACGCGAGATTGCTCTGAAAATCACAACCAGCACCATTGATCTATATAATGCTGTGGTTGCACGTATGCTGCCCACGCCAGCCAAGTCGCATTATTTGTTCAACTTGCGCGACATATCGAAAATATTTCAGGGACTGCTGCGCGGTCATCACGAAGCGCAGACGAAGCGCGCTATGTTCTTACGTTTGTGGGTGCACGAAGTGTTTCGTGTATTCAGCGATCGTTTGGTCGACGATTTGGATCAGGGCTGGTTTATGAATGAGGTGAACAACATACTAGGCAAGTATATGGAGGTCACATTCCACGGTTTGTGCCCCAACAAAATCGTACCCATATTTGGCGACTTTATGAGCAATCAAGGTCACTATGAAGATTTGGTTTTCGACGATTTACGAAAGTATATCAATCGCCAAATGGAGGAATACAATAACTTCCCGGGCATGGCGCGCATGAATCTGGTATTCTTTAAGGAGGCTATCGAGCATGTGACGCGCGCCGTGCGTGTCATCTCACAACCGCGCGGACACGTGTTGAACATTGGTATCGGCGGTTCGGGGCGGCAGTCACTCGTGCGTTTGGCAGCTTTTATTTGCGAATTTGGCACATTTACAATAGAGGTCACAAAGAAGTACAAAACGAATGAATTCAAAGAGGATCTGAAAAATCTCTACAAGATCACCGGCATCAAGCAACGTGGCACCGTGTTTCTTTTCAGCAACGAACAAATTGCCGAAACTGCATTCCTTGAAATACTAAACAACATGCTGAGCACCGGTGAAGCGAACCTTTTCAAGGCGGAGGAGTTCGAAGATTTGAAAACGGAACTGGAACGTCCAGCAAAGAGGGCAGGCGTGCAGTTTACCACCGAAGCACTATATAATTTCTTTATGCAAAACGTGCGTGAGAATATGCACATTGTACTAGCGATGAGTCCCATTGGCGAGGAGTTTCGCAGCTATATACGACAGTACCCAGCCTTGATCAACAACACCTCGCCGAACTGGTTTCGTCTATGGCCACAGGAAGCACTTTTGGAGGTAGCGCAAAAGTTTTTACTCGGCTTCCCGATAAATGTACCGGTTCCCGGCAAAGAGGATGAGAAACATAGAGACAGCTTGGTTATCACCTCGGAAGAGAGGTTACAAAAAGCTGTGGCCTATGTCTTTTCCGTGATTCACTCGAGCGTAGCCGAAATGTCTGTGCGAATGTTGGCCGAAGTGAAGCGGCACAATTACGTCACATCGCCCAACTATTTAGAGTTGGTTAGCGGATTTAAGGCGTTACTCGAAAGTAAACGCTACGAGGTATCTTCCAGCGCAAACAAGCTAAGAAATGGACTCTCAAAAATTCAAGAGACACAAGAGAAAGTCTCAGTAATGTCGGAAGAACTCAAAGTCAGCTCGGAGCAAGTGAAAGTCTTAGCTAAGGAATGCGAAGAATTCATTGCAATCATTGAGATACAAAAGGCGGAGGCTACAGAACAGAAAGAAAAAGTTGACGCGGAGGCGATAGTTATACGCCAAGAGGAAGTTATTTGTCTAGAATTGGCCGCAACAGCGCAAGCCGACTTGGACGTTGTTCTACCAATGATAGATGCGGCTATCAAAGCCTTAGATGCTTTAAGCAAAAAAGATGTGGCTGAGGTGAAGTCTTACGGACGGCCGCCAATGAAAATTGAGAAGGTTATGGAAGCCGTACTGATTATATTGGGCAAGGAGCCCACATGGGAGAATGCGAAGAAGGTGCTCGGTGATGTAAACTTTTTGAATGATTTGAAGAATTTTGATCGTGATCATGTCACTGATAAAACGCTAAAACGCATTAGCTTGTATACGAAAAATCCGGAGCTCGAACCAGAAAAGGTCGCAATAGTATCGGTGGCTTGTAAATCACTTATGCAATGGATTATGGCGATAGAGAATTATGCCAAAGTGTATCGCATCGTGGCGCCCAAGCAGGAGAAGTTAGACAATGCCACGCGCTCGCTGGCCGAGAAGCAAGCTATGTTGGCGGCTGCTATGAAAAAGTTAGCGGAACTTAATGCTGCAATTGCCGAACTATACCGGCAATTAAATGAGAAGACGGAAATGCTTAATGAACTGCGAATTAAAGAAGAAAAGTTGAGGTAAGTTTTGGGGTTGCGTGTGGGATTTTTCAGTGAGTTGAAAAAAGTTGCTGAATATCTAGAATTTATAAGTAATAAAAATATAAGTATGGCAAGCTAGTATTAAGAAGAAGTGGGCAATTCCTGACAAAATAGTGGCGCTTCCCAGAGCTCTTATGGGCTAAATATGTTAGTCCAAAGTAGTTGTAATAGGGTCTTAAGAATCGTGATATTTTTGTTTGCGGTAGCCCAACAGAAAATTTTTAACTGTAGCTCAGAACTATTTTAGGCCTAGTTCGGGGCCTGTCCAGAACTATTTCAGGACCACTTCGCGACTATTGCGGAATCATTTCGAGATCGGGTGTTTCGGGAACTGTTAAGGACTAATTCTATACCATTTCGTAGTTATTTCAGTAATATTTCGGGCTTTGTTCTGGGGAATTTTAGACTAGTTCTGGCCTAGTTCGGGTTCAATTCGGGTCTAGTTCAGGACCATTTCGGAACTGGTTCAGAACTATTTCAGGACAATTTCGAGATATTTCACGACTATTTCAGCCATATTTCGAGACTACATCGAGATCATTTGGGGCTAATTCAGAATAATTTTGAGACTAGCAAATGGCTATTTCGGGACCCTTTCAAGGTTTGTTTGAGATCTCTTCGGCACAAGTTTACGACCTTTTCAAAAAAAATCAGTACAATTTTAAGACTATTTCGAACCCTTGAAATAGTCTTGAACTACTGCAAATTGTGGTGTGTGTCGTACTGGTTCCGGCACAATGAGTAAAATGTAATGAAGTTAATGTTTAATTTTTAACTTTACTCATTTATGTATGTGACAGAATCATCTAATGCTTTGACAAGCCGTACATAGAAGTTTAGACTCCAAATTTCATGATTACCTGATTTTCACGTCTTTTCTTTTCAATACATAGTTAATAAATTGTTACTGATCAGCAAGGCTGATTAGTAAAACACTGCCTTAACTTTTGCAATGGTCTTCAGCATAGTTCCCCAACTCTAATCCTATTTCTCACAGAAAACAACTCGAGCGCGCCATTATCCTGGTAGAATCCTTGTCTGGTGAACGAGAACGTTGGATTGAGACTGTGGCTGCCTTGGATTTATCGTTCGAAAAGTTGCCTGGCGATTGTCTATTAGCCACCGCATTCACATCCTACCTTGGCCCCTTCGACACCAAATACCGCGAGTCACTCATCGAGCAATGGATCGCACTCATAGCATCGAACCAAATTCCCTATACAGATGAAATGAAAATAACACTTTTCCTCAGCGATGCCGTAACTATACGCGAATGGAATATTCAGGGTCTGCCTGCCGATGACTTTAGCACCGAAAATGGTGTAATTGTTATGCGCGGCCAACGTTGGCCACTCATCATCGATCCGCAATCACAAGCGAACACTTGGATTAAAAACTACGAGGCCAATAACAATTTGAAGGTAATCGATTTCTCTCAAAATGATTATATACGCTCGCTGGAGCGCGCGATGTCCGCCGGTAATCCAGTACTGCTTCAAAATGTTAGCGAGTACTTGGATCAAGCCATTAATCCGATTTTGCGCAAAAGCTTTACCATACAAGGAGGCCAAAAGCTAATCAAGTTCAATGACAAATACATAACCTACAATGATGCCTTCAAACTCTACATAACCACAAAAATAACCAATCCCCACTATCCACCGGAAATTTCATCAAAAACGACCATCGTTAATTTCGCTGTCAAGCAAGACGGCTTGCAGGCACAACTCTTGGGCATAATTGTGCGCAAAGAGAAACCCGCTTTGGAGGAGCAAAAAGATGAGTTGGTCTTGACGATTGCGCGCAACAAACGCACGCTCATCGAATTGGACAACGAGATCTTGCGTTTGCTAAATGAAAGTCGCGGCTCACTGCTGGAAGATGATGAACTTTTCGCTACGTTACAAAAGTCACGCCAGACTTCGGTTTTGGTGAAAGAATCGCTGGCCACCGCCGAAGTGACGGAGATCGAGATCGATGCTGCTCGCCAAGAATATCAACCGGCGGCCGAACGCGCAGCCATACTCTTCTTCGTGCTAATGGATATGTCGAAAATCGATCCGATGTATGAGTTTTCGCTTGCCGCCTATATTTTACTCTTCGTGCAATCAATCGAGCGTAGTCCGAAACATCAAATCGTATTCGAGCGCATACAAAATATAAACGATTATCACACATATTCTGTATATAAGAATACCTGTCGAGGCCTATTCGAAATGCATAAGCTGCTCTTCTCCATACACATGACGGCGAAAATTTTGCAATGTGCCGGAAAGCTGGTGGAGGCGGAATATGATTTTATTCTAAAGGGTGGCATTGTACTGGACAAACAGAATCAGGCGCCCAATCCAAGTCCTGGTGAGTAGATCGGCACAGACTATCTACCAAATACGAAGTAAGAAGGAAATTTTGGCTAAGATAGTTCAAAGCCTTTTGTAAGTAAATTGCAAGACAGTAGGCAAGCTAGTTTGAAGGATTTTGTTTATTCTGGCATGAAAGTCTTACAAAAAAAAGCTCCCTTCCCACTTTTATGGTGCAAAAGTTCTTTTGATAGAAAGCTCTTCTATTTAATTTGGTCTCGCTGCTCCAACACTCGCAAAAGCGAGTAAACCAAAGAACTAGCGTTCCATTCCAGAAATCCGAGATGGAGTCCTCGGGCAGCGGATTTTTTTTTTAATTTTAGATTTTGTTGTTTAAAAAAACAAAATATTTTTTCTTGGTTTCACTTAATTTTTAAGGCAGTTATTTTATTTTTTGAATAAAATTTTTCTTTCTTTTCAATAAATTGTTTATTATTAAATATTTTAAAAATATATATATTTTTTTCTAATTTAATTTCTAGGAACTATTTTTTTTTTTTTAATTAAATTTTCTTTTAATTTTTAAATGCTATTGTTGCTTTAAAACGAAACATAATTCCTTAGATCCTCTAATTATTGGAAACATTTTTTTCATATTTTTTAATACGCAAAACTTTTTTTCATTTAATTTTCCCGAACTGTTTTTCTTTTATAATTCAATTTTGTTTTAATTTTTAGATTTTATTCTAAAAAATAAAAATTTTTTTAGAACTTTTTTTCTGTTTCAATTGATTTTTCTTACAAGTTTTAAAATTTTTGGTTTTGAAAAGAAAACTATTTTTTATTTAATTTAATTTTTAGATACAAAATTTTTTTTATATTTTTTTTTTATTTTTTTTTTTTTGTTAAATTTTCTTTTACTTTTTGAATTTTATTGTTTAAAAAAATTGTGATTTTAATTTAATTTAATTTTTAGCAAGTTACTTAATTTTTTTAACCTTTTTAATTTATTTATTTTTTTTTATTATATTATTAAAAAAAAAATATGTCTTTAAATTTCATTTACTTTTTCGGAACACATATTTTAATATTAATTCAATTTTAAAACTTATTTCATATGTATATTATTACTTTTCTCAAATTTGTTTTTTCGTTTTTTAATTAAATTATCATTTATTTCGGAGTTTTTATTATTTGAAAGAGAAAAATATAGTTGTAATAGTAGAGTAACGTTTTTACTTGCAGTCTGGATCAGCGAGCAAGCTTGGGATAACATAACTGAACTAGACAAACTTCCAGGCTTCCATGGCATTATCGATTCATTTGAGCAGAGTTCAAAAGCGTGGCAGAGTAAGCTCTTAACTGATTTGTTTTCCAAATGGCAATTAACCATCTTTAATACTTAGTGTGGTACGCAACAACTTCGCCGGAGACCGAAGATCTGGTTGGCGAGTGGAATGACAAATTGACGGATTTCCAAAAGATTTGCGTCGTACGTTGCTTACGTCCCGATCGCATCTCCTTCTGCCTCACGCAATTTATTATCAATACACTTGGCCCGCGTTTTGTTGAGCCACCCGTTTTGGATTTGAAGGCCGTTTTCGACGAGTCTATGCCTCAAACGCCGCTCATCTTTGTGCTTTCGCCTGGCGTAGATCCAACACAATCGCTCCTAACGCTTGCCGAACAATGCAAAATGGCTTCACGCATGTTCTCACTCAGTTTGGGTCAAGGTCAGGCGCCAGTCGCTACGAAAATGATCATGGATGGTGTACACGATGGCAACTGGGTCTTTCTGGCCAACTGTCATCTGTCCTTGAGTTGGATGCCAACATTGGACAAGATTATTGCTACCATGCAGACGATGCAGCTACACAAGCGCTTCCGGCTATGGTTGAGTTCGAGTCCACATCCCGAATTTCCGATTTCCATACTACAGACAAGCATTAAAATGACCACCGAACCACCGCGTGGCATAAAGGCCAATATGCGTCGCCTGTACAATAATATTGACGAGCAAAACTTCGAGACGATTGACGAAACGGGCAAGTACAAGAAGCTACTATTCGCGCTTTGCTTCTTCCATACGGTGCTGTTGGAGCGCAAGAAATTTTTACAGCTCGGTTGGAATGTTATTTATAGTTTCAATGACTCTGACTTTGAGGTCTCAGATGTATTGCTGGCTTTGTATTTGAACGAATATGAGGAGACACCTTGGGGTGCATTGAAATATCTCATTGCCGGCATCAATTATGGTGGGCACGTGACCGATGATTGGGATCGCCGCCTACTAACAACGTACATTAATCAGTTTTACTGTGATGCGGCTTTGACCAACCAAAAATTCCGGTAAGTTTAAATGGGGGTTTTCGTCGCTGTACAAATATAGACATGCCATGCCTTACATCCATTTAAAGCCTCTCGTCGCTGCTGAATTACTTCATACCTGTGGATGGCGATCTGCAATCTTACATCGATCAAATCCAACAATTTCCAAACTTCGACAAACCGGAAGCATTTGGCCAACATCCCAATGCCGATATTGCTTCACTGATCGGCGAAACTCGTTTGCTCTTCGAGACGCTCATGTCAATGCAGGTGCAAACCACCGCTGCGGTGGGTGAGAGTATGGAGACTAAGGTCTTACGCTTGGCTAAGGACATACACGCCAGCATACCGGACGAAATCAACTACGAGCAGACCGCCAAATTAATCGGCATCAACCGTTCGCCACTCGAGGTAGTGTTGCTGCAGGAGATTGAGCGCTATAACTATTTATTGAGGAGAATGAAAATACACATGCGAGATTTACAGCGTGGCATAAAGGGCCTAGTAGTGATGAGCACCGAATTAGAGGATATCTACCAGTCAGTTTATGAAGGTCGCGTGCCTGCGGTGTGGCTTCAAGGTGAGTTCTGTCTAATCTTTTTTGCTTTTGGCTTCTAAAATTTATATTTCCGAAACGCTGCCAGCTTATCCTTCCCTCAAACCACTCGCTTCGTGGTCGCGTGATCTAATTCTACGCATAGAACATTTCTCGCAATGGGCCAAGACACTGAAACCGCCGCTGCTCTTTTGGTTGGCCGCATACACTTTTCCCACTGGTTTTCTCACTGCCGTGCTGCAGACATCGGCACGCGCCACCCGCACTCCCATCGACGAATTGTCATGGGACTTTTATGTCTTCATCGAGGAGGATGCGGCTGCGGCGCGCATTGTGCGGGAAGGTGGCGGCGTCTATGTGCGTAATTTGTATTTGGAGGGTGCCGGTTGGCTGCGCAAGATGCAATGCCTGCAAGATCCACTGCCCATGGAGCTGATTTGTCCAATGCCCGTTATACACTTCAAGCCGGTAGAGAATCTGAAGAAGAAGACTCGTGGTGTATACCAGTGCCCTGCCTATTATTATCCGCAACGTGCCGGTTCCTTTATCATACCCGTGGACTTGAAGTCGGGGCTCGAGAAATCGGACTATTGGATTAAGCGCGGCACTGCTTTGTTACTCAGTTTGAGCGTCTAACTGTTTGATGGCAATGCTTTCTGCAATGCCTTTGCTGCCTTACTGTTAATTGTTTTGTTTTGGATTTTTTTTTAATTTTTTGGCATTTTTTGAAATTATTTATTTCAGTTTTTGTGGCAAATAAATGCAGCATTTATTGAACTTTAAATCAAATGCTATGTCTTTTCTGTAAACGCGCTAAGCGGCTAACACGCGTCGCACATGCCTGCACAAAGCGCAGCCGCTTCACAACGGCAACTGTAATTAAGTAATTATATATAATTGCAAGTAATTATCGAGCACACGAACCAAAATGCGACAGCAATTAATTGAATTAAACGAGCTGACTTTTTTGGTACGCCAGAAAATCGTACGTGCGAATATTTTGAGTCGCTGTTAAAAATTGGTTAGTGCCATTTTCTATTTAATTTAGCGCAAAAATGAAGAATTTTCAACTCCACCTGTTAAGGAAAAATAATAAAATTTTCCAAGTTATTAAATAATGTGCCAAACGATAAAGTCGTTGAAAAAAACGTCACATTGTTCTAAAAGGCTTTCGCTTCCACTAAGCCCTATCATGAGCCATACCGCCTGCGAAGGACATCTCCAGAATTGGATATTTTCACACACCCTAATATTATGCTACAGTTTTAGGTCTGCCTTCGTAATACAATTGGTTTTCGCCTACATTGCCTACAGGGAGTCGGTCGCTTAAAAAAAAAAAACAGACAGCCGCTCAGCAAAAAAAAAAAACCGACCTAGCATTGAATCTGATCTGGTCCGTGCGGTAATACGCACCTCTGATAAATTGGGTGCTGCGTCCGACAGTATTTTAGATAGGGGAGGGGGTGAATTAATGGGTGTGAGACCCTATGCCACCATAAAAGTCGATAATGCCTAACAATACGGCTACTCAAGCAAGAAGAATTCATATAACTGGTCGTCTTCACCTGCTTGAAAATTCAGCTTGCGAGAACCCGCATGCGGAGACTGCAAGAAGGTCCAAGCATACTTTCTCTGGCATACGATTGATTGGTTTGCGAGCACTCGCTACAGTTTCAGCTTTTTTCTCAAAAACAACATAAATTTAGCAAATAAAATGGCGAGTTCCAAATGTATTAAAAATGCATTAATTAATTAGAAAATTGCAAAGGAAAAACGAGTGTGGATTTAGGCTTTTTCAAAAACCTTTCGTTCGGCATAATCATAATGTATAATTTTACTTAACTTACATGCTTACAGCATCTAAGTTTAAAGGTGCGCGGCAACCCTACTTAAAAACATGTTAGTGGCGAAGCTTATTTATACACCTTCCATTTGATGTCTATATTGCCGTATTTAAAAAGCTTACATGTTCTAATTACTTTTACTGCAACATTTTGGAAAGGTGGCAACACTATACAAAATTTGATTAGCTCTTTTAGGGTTTTTCTTGTAAACGTAGAAATTTAAACACATTTCTGAGCCTTAAAATTTGTCAAAACCCTTCTACCGAAAATACTGTGTAATTGAGGAATTCATCAGGTTTTTACTGTTATTCATTTGGATTAATTTCTTGTCTTGCCATTTATTAATGTACTTAGGTGCTCTTCGACTTATCAAAACCTGACTTACTTTATTTTATTTTATTTTTCTTATGGTATATCAAGTCCCAGTTATAAAATTTAGCCCAAAAACTCGTACATGTTGAACCATTGGTTGTGGTGAGCACATAGCAACAAACAGCAGGCACAATAAATAATTATGCTGCTGAATGTGGCGAACGG